TGGAGGCTGGAAAGCATGGGCGTGTCCAAAAGGGAAGAGAAGCAGAAGCAGCTGAGATGGGCAGTGGAAGGTGAGGCAGCATAATCACATAGAAGGAGGCAAGGAGGCCCCAAGGAAAGGCAACTTCCACTTAGTGAGTGTTTGATCCGTGCCAGGCACTTCGCACACACGAGTTCATTAAATCCCTGCAAAGGCCAGTGAGGTAGATTTTAGGACCCCCATTTTACAGATAAGGAAACTGAGGCACAGATTGGTGAAGTGACTTGCCCAAGGTCACACAGCTGGTAAGGGGCAGAACTGGATTTGAATTGAGATGATCTGATTCTCTCCTCCCTGATGGGAGTTCCTAACCCTGATTTGTGCTTGGAGGGGGCGCATGTTGGTAGGGCACATGTAGGAAGGTAGGAGCTAAGGTCCAAGACACACAGAGCCCAGAATGCTTAGTTCCTCTGTACTATCTCAGGGCCTGAAAGTGACCTGGGAGCCTCCCTCGGCTCACCCTCATGGTCCTAGAGCCCTGGCCTGGGCAGCAGGATGCCTAAGTTCCAATCTAGGCTCTCTTCACCTCTTACAATGCCCATTATACAGATATGAAAACTGAGGCCCAGAGAGGGAAAAGAACTTCCTTGATGATGCACACCAAGCTGGCTCAGTGTGGCTTTCATGCTGGCCCCTGCCTGGGCTCCCATCTGATGGCTGGAAGCTGATGCTGCCATTCAAAGGGCCTAACCCCTGGACACAGAGGGTAGCAGAGGGCCCAGTTGGGTCCCTTGCCCAGCCCAGGCCCTTGGGAAATGTGTTTGAGTTTCAGTTCCCAGTGAAGTGTGTCCCCAGGGATGTGGTGAGTGTGTGGAGCTGCAGGCTGAGGAGGGACTCCCCAAGGAAGGAGGGGAGACTTAGCAGGACCTGCCCCACAGGCTTCCCGGAGACTGGACTCACCAGGGCAGAGGGAGGGCTGGGGGCCACCCAGCTCTCCAGCAGACCTGGATTGCCCCTGGACTTTCAGCCCTGCTGCAACTCTGCATCCAACAAATGGAAGCCTCCTGCCCCTTTCTCAGCCCCTTGGCTGGCTCTCCTGGGGAGCAGAGGGCCCCACCCTGGGGGACTTGCACATGGGGGAGCCACCTCCACCCAGACTGAACCCAGCTCTGTGTCAGGCTTCAAATTATGTGCTCTCCATCACACAGGCCTGACAGTGGGAACTGTTACGATTCCTCAAGAAAAAGGAGGCTCAGAGAGGCAGAAGGACTTGCCCAAGGTCACCAGATTGGAGCTGGGCCTCAAATGCAGGTTAGAGTGACAGCATAGCATTTGACCACAGTACCATGTCTTCTCTGACCCAAGCCACCAGCCAGCTCCAGTGGCTCCTTCCGGCCACACCCCTGGCTGTTGATGGCCTCAGGCATGTCTCAGCTGTGCTAACATGGGCCTGACCAACACACTCCATCTCTCCCTCTAACGCTCACCGTTCTCCTCACCTGCCCATCTTCGCCGCCAATCAGGAGCAGCCACAGGGCAGAGACAGGGTAGGATCCAAGCCTTTGTGAGGCCCCCAGGCCCAGCCAGCATGGACACTGAGCGAACATGTTCTCTGTGAGTGAGGGAACCCCTGCAATGGCGGACACCATCCCTGTTTTTCAAATGGGAGAACTGAGGGTTATTAGGGGACTGTGACCTGCTGGGTCACCAGCAGGCTCCAGGCAGAGCAGTGACCTGCCTGGGCTCTTGAGATTCAGTTTCCCTCCAGGGCACGATTTAGCCTCGAACTTCCCCCAGCAGCTGTGCGAAGTCCTCCATATGGCACCTGGGCCGCTTCCCTGCCTGCCAGGCAGAGGCCCATCGCCCCAATGCTGTGACCCCACTGATAAGCAAACCCCTGAATGTGCTTGGGTGGAGACAGCAGGGGAAGATCACCGAGGGCTCCCTGCGGCAGGAGCACGTTACTTCTGCTGGGGATTTCTACCAGAACCGTTTCCATAATCCTTCTCAGAGTGTGGCTGGGGTTTAATAATGAGTGTAATAGCCTGAGGATCTCTTCTGTGAGCTGGGAACAATGGTGCATTCTTAAACGAGTCCTGCTCCTCTTTTCTCGGTGTCTGAGTTCAGCTGTGGCAAAGTGAGGTGGGGAGCAGGGATCCAGGACCCTCCAGCAGCAGTGCTCACACAGGGCCAGAGCCCAGCACCTCCATGATATAGATGGAGCCGCGGAGGCCCACGGTGTCTGGGAGGTTGGGGGTAGCACGACTCCTTAGGAAGACTTGACTGTGGGTGCAGAAGTGTGGAGCAAGGGGTTCCCCAGAAGCAGGCTCTTAGCCGAGGATTCCCATGCAAGTGGTTTATCCAGGAAATGCTCCCAGAATGAGCCCAGAAAGAAGTGGGACCCAGGAGTTGGGAGTGCGGGGAAGGGAGAAAGACGGTGTTGTTTCTGGCCTCGTCCTGCAGAGGGTGGCTTCAGCCTGAACCCAGGGGGAGGCTCTGGAGTGTAAGTTACATCTCAGGGTTGTTGAAACCCCCAGGAAAGGGAGCTGGGCTTTCATATTCCCCGCACTCCATCAGTCAGCGCCATCTGAGGAAATCTGGGCTGAATACAGCTTCCTGGAAAAGGAGGCATGGCCTTGCCGTGTGATGTGGGAGCAGGACATGCAGGCTGTGCTGAGGAAAAAGGTTTGAGCAGGACCCGAGGGAGGAGCTCAGGCACACTGCTGGAAGGCAAGGTGGCATGTTGACCTGAGGGAGACCAAGGCCCAGTTCTGACTTAGGACAGGCCAAGGAGGTACATGGACCTTGGAGGGGTGGCTCAGTTCCCTGCAAACTGCAGGGGAAGTGCACTCAACCATTTCAGCAAAAGTCCCATAAACCACCTCCGGAAATCCCTCTCTTATTTGCCGCTGTTTGGGGCCAAAACCCTGAACTGTGACGAGGAGGGACAGATAGCGTAGGTGAGACGTAGAACTGTCTTATTCAGTCAAAACCGTTCAGAAATGAGTCACTGGCCTGACCTGGGTCCCAAGAGGCTGCACCAACAAGAGCCTAGGGCCCCAGGTGAGGTGGGCATCAGGACTGGGCCGAAAAGGCGGGGCCACAGTTGACGAGGGGCTACTCAGGGAGGTGGATCTGTATTAGTGGGAACATTTGTCCCTTTGCTTGACTCCACTTCCCTTCTCTCCTTCCCTCCTGAGAGGCCCCACCTGGACCTCCTGGCTTCCAGTCTCATCTCCAATCCAGTCTCCTGGAGTTGCCAGAAGGTCCCCCCTAAAAAAAGCAAATCTTTCCTGCCCCTTCTCTGCCTACCACCCTCCATGGCTCTCCATTGCCCTCAGGAGAAGGACCGAAGCCCCAGCGTTCTCCCACGTCCTCTCCCCGTGATGAAGATGCTTAGCCCGAAGGGCTGAGAGCAGCAAACCTCAGGCAGAAACCGGGAGTCGCAGTGGCTTCCCAGAGCCCCAGACCAGGCAGTGCGGGCAGCAGCCCAGCTGTCCAGAAGGAGGGAAGAGCAGCCCCGGACCCGCCCCCAGGCCTCCCTCTCTGCCTTTGCCTCTGTCACTAATTTATGGAAAGCGTCTAAATTGAGAGTGAACACAGTCCTGCAAATCTTATCTAATCCCTGCCTCCACTGGAGAGAGTAGCACTCCAGGAGTGGAGTTTTTATTATAGTGATTACATTTGGTTTTATTTCTGGAAAACAAACTGAAAATGAAGCACTTAAGGTCTAATTTCCCCAATCACCTGTGGAATGAGGAAGCTTCCAGGTGGTGCTTGGTGAGGCCATAGGGAGCCTTGCAGTCCTGTAGCCCAAGGAGGGCCTTGGGGGCCAGAGTCTAGCTCATTAAAAATTCCTCTTAGCTCTACCTTTAAGCACAGCTAGAATCCAGCCTCTTCTCTCCCTCTGCTGCCTCCACCCAGGTCTAAGCCATGGCCACCTCTGCAGTGGCCCCATGGCCATCTCCCTGTTTCTGCTTTTCGTTGCTCCAGTCTCTGCTCACAGTCAGCCAGAGCCAAGCCTGTTGCTCTTCGGAGAAGCTCTCCAAGGGTCCCTCCTCCCTGCGGGTAACTCTGGAGTCCTATCAGGCCCATCAGAGCCACAAGATGCCCTCTGATCTCACTCCCCACTTTCTCCTGCCTCCCTGGGATCCTGCACTTGCTGTTCCCTTGCCTGGATCATTTTCTCCGATATCCACAGTCTGTACCCTCACTTCCTGCAGATCTCACTCAGAAGTCCGCCCACCGCAGCCTTCTCTGATTGCACCCAGGCCCCATTCATCCTCTGCACCTCACTCTGCTTTATTTATCCCCTTACCACTCACCACCAACCCGAAATATCCTTCTTTTTTGGCATATCATCTAGTTTCCCTGTATTCTCCACTGGAAGGTCAGCGCTAAGAGCAAGGGATTTGTTTGTTCACTGACATATCTCCAGTACTGGGAGAGATGCCTGATACACAGCAGATGCTCAATAAATATTTATCAAGTGAATGAATGAAGTGCACTGGTCATTTGACAGAGGGGGGTGGGCAGAGTTCCCCAAGATGTTCTGGGGGTGTCCTCTCTGGGTGGGTGGAGTCAGCCTGATGGTACTCCCTGCAGGCAGTCTTCTGTCCAGGTTCTAAATGGAAGTTCTGGCTGCAGGTGGCAGCTCTGGTCTCTCAAGAAGACTGATTTTCCTTTGGTGCAAACACCACCTCTTCCAGGTAGCCCTCCCAGAACACTTCCCAACCCTCAGGGAAAGTTTGCCCTAGCCCCTCCTGGCCTGACACTTTCTCTTTTGTGGTCTGTTTTGGGTGTCGGTGTCAGGCCAAGCTCCTGGGGGACCCCTGAGTCAGATCTGGAGAACACCTGGATGGCCCGCTCCAGCTCACGCCATGTGGGGCCTCTCAGTCATGCCTCTCCTCACTCGAGCCTCACAACAACCCTCTGAGGTAGTCATTATTATCCCCATTTTACAGATGAGGAAACTGTGGTCAGAGGCCGCAGAAGTGACTTACCCATGTCCCACAGCTGGTGTCACAAGGTGGAGTGTAGCTGGGCTCCTGTGCTCCAAAGGCGGCCCCACTGCATTCAGTGCAGTGCTCAGAAAGCGTTTGGGGAAGGAAGGGAAGGGCAAGCCTGAGTCCTGGGGCTCCTGAGTGAGCAACGAAGATGCTGCCAACACAGCATGTGCCAGTCTGCTGCTGGGCTGGCTCATGTGGCCCATCCTTGCTCGGCCAAGCCCTGAGCTGGAGACTCTCCTGGAGTTCTGTGCAGGGAAAGAAAAGGCAGTAACTCTCTCTTCCAGAAGGTCGGGGAGCCCCACCAGGGAGATGTAAAGAACACACATTGTATAACCATGCCCATCCCTGGTCCTCAGTCTCTCACTGGGTCAAAGACAAGGCCCAAAAGGGTTGACTGATGAGCCAGAAATTAGGGACGGATCCAGGACTGGTGACTCGACATCACTGCCATCTTTGTTCTCTGATTCGACCTGCTATGCCTGTGATGCCTGTGCACCTGGGACTGTCAAAAGTTGTACCTGTCTAACAGGATCAAAGAGCAAAGGAGATAACACAGGACAGTGCCTGGCAGAAAATAAATTCTGAATAATTGGACCATATAATTATTAGCTGGTTCCAAGACAGGCACCTATATTGCACTGCCTCCTTCTTCCCTGTCTTGCAAATGGCTGTCACAGGCCTGGAGCTGCAAACTTGGTGGTTAAAAGAAGACCTCTCTGTTTAGGGGGAAGAAAACAGTTAAGATAAGAGTGCCCCATGGTCGTGGTGGAGATGGTGTGGCAAAACTAACATGGCGTGGCAGCATTTTTGTGAGCATTTTAAACAGGCAAGGTAAATATTTTATGAATGCTGAATATTAATAAAGTCTCATTTTGTCTGAATTTCCCCACCTTTTAAAATGTATGTCAAGAAACAAATAACGTAAGAGCTGTCCAGTTAAGTGAGCTGTCAACTGGGTTTACAATATTGCCAAGTAGGGCATTTTTTAAACTGGTAAGGAAGTATGAATATCTCCTCTTTTCTTTTGGTCAGGATTAGTCTCAAATTCAGAGAATTTTGAATTACATCCTGTCAGGGCTAGCCCCTTCCTGGAACAGGACGTGGTGGTCCTACGCACACCCACATGCCACCAGGGCCAACCATCTGGAAATGGCCCTTAGACAGAACCTATTGAGAACTGTAAGAACCATGTATATACTTTGGTTATATACTCTGGCATTTATCCTGATGAAATAATTCCAAAAAAGCAAAGCAAAAATGTAAGCATATAAAGACGTTAATTACGGTGTTGTTTATAGTTGGGGGAAATGGTAAACACGCTCAGTCTACAACAAGAGGGGAATAACTTAGTGAATTATGCTTAGGCCCTTGATGGTGCTCTGACCAATAAAAGTGGTCATTTTGAAGACTATGTAACGACATGGATGATGTTCATGTTCAAAGGTTTCATATCAAAGGAGAAAATGCAAAACTGCATTGAGACTCTGGTCTCTACTGTTGGGGCGATTTTCTTTCCTTGTTGTCTGGTCCTCACAACAGCCCTCTGTGGTAGATAAAACAAGGTTGTTAGCTATTCCCCATTCTCCAGGAGAGGAAAGAGAGATCACAGGGACTCAGATTCTGAACTGGGACAGCTCCTAATGCAGAACCCAGCGCTGCCTTGGAAGAGCGTTTCCCTGCAGCTCCCAGGTGAGGACAGTGCCAGACAAAGCTCAGTTCCCACACCCCCTCCCCGTCTCATCCAGGAGGGGCAGCCCCTGGGCTGCCTGTTCTTCCTCCTCACGCTGGGATTTCCCATCTCGGGCAGTTTGGAAGAACCCCAGTCCCCAGCCCCACTGTACTCTGAGCTGGGCTGATAGGAAGCCCCTTCTGCACAGTTGACCCATGAGATCATGTGGGAAAACCCTTAGAAACTCTGATACGCGCTGCAGGTGCTGCTGTTCCTATTATTTAAAAAAAAAAGTTGTGATGTGAAATCTTCCCATCATGCAAACTTTGTTGGTAATCATATAACAAACACTCCCCTCTCCGTTGCCACCTTAGGAAATAAAACCTTACAGGGACACTTGCAGTCTCCTCCGTGTCCCTTCCTGAGCCTCCACCTCTGTCACAAAGGTAACCCAAACCAGAAAGGGGTGTTTATCTATAAATCTTAAGTAGTATTGTTTTGCATTCTTTTGAACTTTCAATATGTGCTTTCATATTGTCTTGAATTCATTCAACAAATTAACTTGGCAAATATTTATTGAGAACCTACTGTATGAGATACCCTTTTAAACCCCGGGAACATCAGTGAACAAAACAGACACGATCACTACTCTTGTGGTGCGTATATTCCCATGGGGTGAGCCAAACAATAAGCAAAATTTATGAATTATAGATAGGTTATATAACATGTTAGAATGTGATAGGTGCTAAGGGGAAAAATAAAGTCAGAGAGGCGAGGGTGGAATGTTACAATTTTAAGGAATAACATATCCTTCTATAACTTGCTTGTTTACACAATAGTATCTTTTCTTTTTTATGAATGTACCATCTTTATTCATTTTCTTGTCAATGAACATTTAAGATTTTTTTTTTAGTCACTATAAACAATATTGCCATAAGTGTCCTTGTAAACGTGTCTTTGTGCACACCTGGAAGAGATTTTCCGGAGAATGTACTCTAGTATTGCTGGGTCTGGGGCATCTTTGACTTAACTTAGTTAGATGGTACCAATGGCTCCCAAGGGGGTTGTACCAATGGTTCCCGCAGCAGCATATGAAGCTTCTAGTTACTCTACCTCTTCTCTAACACTTGGTAGTGTCAGATTTTTAAAAATACCTGCTGATCTGATAAGAATAAAATATTACATCTTTGTTTAAATCTGAATTTCCCAGATAACTAAACGGTTGAGTACATTTTTGTAAGTTTATTAATCATCTGTGTTTCTTTTTTAATGACTGGGAATTTCATTGATTTTTGCCTGTTAATTTTATACCAAGTAATCTTGCTAACTAATAATTGGTCTGTAGATTCCTCTAGGTTTTCTAAATAGACAATTATATCATCTGTAAATGACAGTTTATCTCTTTCTTTTGAAATGTATGACATTGATTTATTTTATTTTGTAATTAATTTATTAAAAAATTTCTGCCGCTAAATGTATTAATTTATTTTAGCAAAAAATTCAGTAGTGCAATGTTGAACAAAAAATGCTATAGTGGGCATCCTTATCTTTTCCTGATTTTAAAGGAAATGTTTCTACTGTTTACACAAGTAATATTTCCTTTTGATGTTTTTATAGATATCTTTTATCAGTTTAAGGAAACTCCCTTTTATTTCTAACCTGCTTAGAGGTTTATCATCAATCAGTATATACTTTTATCAAATACCTTTTCTGCGTCTACTTTTGTGATCATATTTTTTTACTTCTTTAAACTATTGATGTGGTAAATTACCTTTACAGATTTTCTAATACTAAGCCATCTTTGTATTCTTGGGGTAAACTCAACTTGGTTATGGTACATTATCTTTTTTATATACAGTTGAACTTTTTAATAATATATTACTTAGGATTACTACATCTAAATTTATGAATGAAATGAGCCTGTAATTTTCCTTTCTCATGCTATACTTCTTTAACTTTTTAAAATTGAAGGTTAGTTGGTTTACAATATTGTGTTAGTTTCTGAGTACTATACTTGTTTTGGTATAATTTTGGTATTAAAATTACATTGGCCTCAAAAAAATGAATTTTGGAGTATTCCTTCTTTTTCTATTCCCTGGAAAAACTCATAATATTGAGATTATCTATTATTGAACTGTTGGTAGAATTCACCTATAAAACCATCTGGGCCTTGAGTTTTCTTTGTGGGAATGTTTTCAATTATTGCTTCAATTTCTTAAATAGTTATAGGACTATTCAGAATATCTATTTTTCTTTCAGTTTTGGTAGGAATGTCCTATTTCTACTACAACTTCAAATTTGTTGGCATAAAGTTGTTGACAGCATTCTCTTACTATATTTTTTTCTCAGTAATCTTTTATTTGCAAATACAGCCACATGGAAAGATAAAATCTCCAGATATTTGGCTGTCTTTATCTTACTATCTTTTAAACCTCTGTTTTAACTATAGTTATGTTACTCTATCATGTATGATGTCATTTATTTGTGTATTTTCTTTTTTTCCCCTTGATCAATCTTCCCACAGATTTGTCTGTCTTTTTAAAGAATTAACTCTTAGTTTTTATTGGTCTTCATCATTGCATTTTTGTTTTCTATTTCATTGATCTTCATTTTGTTTTTATCATCTCTTTCCTTCTATTGTTTTGGGATTCACTGTATTTTTTTTTAAACTTCTTAGATTGGACACTAAGGTCATTAATTTGCCCTGAGGTTGTGTGCCCCTAATTGAACTAAGCTAAACAACAGTTGTTTTGTGAGAACTGTGGAACAAGGGGGACAGATATGGAGGCCCAGGACCCAATGGAGGGAGGAGTAATCTAATCGAGACCCTCCACAGTGAAGCAGGACTCCAAACCTAACCTTGATGCAATGTTGCTTTCTCTCCAAACTATAGTAAACTGATTAAAAAATAAAAAACCCACAAGAGGGAGAATAATAGCAGAGTTGTCAGCGACAGCATTTTCGTAGTTGGGAAGTAGATAGACTGCAGAACCATGAAGAGGTCTTGACCCAGGCACACTGCATATCTCAGGACTGGGGTTAATATGGGGTGGTGTGGACAGAGAAAAGACCCTACAAATTTGCAGAAAAAAAGTAGGCTTATACAAAGGATTATGACTCAGAAAGGCATTGGATTTTTAAAATAGCACCAGCGGAAGCCAGAATGCAATGGAGGAACATGTTCAAAATTCTGAAAGAGAGTTTATGGTTAAATTGATGATAAAAATGAGCAAAATAAGCCAACGATTAAAATAAGTCAGTTATTCACTCCAGGGAAAACAAAGTTTTGTTCAGGAAAAGAAAATGATAATAGCCTACACAGCTCATTTGACAATAGATTTAGAGCCAAAATAAGGCAAATAATGAATATGAATCTAATCAGAATGACAACTATATTGAGAGGCTGATGATGAGGGACATGTGTGGGAGTGGGTGTGTGGGGTAGAATATGTGTGTGTGTTTTGAAGGGGTTGTGTTTAGGGGGAGGGGGTTGGTCAGAGAGTTAAATCTTCTCTTTACATGATGAGAAACCATCCTGAAAAATTCAAGAAGCAGCAATATAAGCATGTTATTTGG